AATAATAATAATAATAATAATATAAAGCAACCCTTATCTTAAAGATGCAAAAACAAAAGTCCATAAAGAGACAGGAGACCGGTAGCCCTTGGCTGATGAGGCAAAATGTGAGAAAGGGCTCGGAATGTCCACAAATAGGTTACCCAAAGGCCAGATCTCAAACCTACCTCTGACCCTGGCCTCTGCCCTGCTCAAACCCCCTCCTGACCTCCGCACCCTCAGACTGAAATCCAAGCTTCTCAGCCTGGAGTTTGCAGACCTTCAGCCCAGCTCTGTCCAAAAGACCTTTCAAGAGTGATGCGAATGTTATCTGTGCTGTCCAATACGGTAGCCACTGAGCAACTGAAATGCATGGCTAGTGCGACTGCAGAAGTGAAGTTTACATTTCATTTTAATGAATTTCAATAGTCACCTGTACCCAGTGGTGATCACACTGGACAGCAGAGCTGCAAGGAGAGTGCCCAGCTTTCTAAATCTGCCCCCAAAGCCTGTTCACCAAAGGCAGCCATGCTCTTCTGCCTGCCTCCGGCTGCTTCCCACCTCCTGGCCCATGCTGTGATCTCTGCCTAGAGCACCATCGCATCCTCTGCCCTGATTCCCTCACACTCCACTCAGTTCCCACTTTGATGTAGTGGAGCCTTGAGGGGTGTCCAGGGTTTGGGTAGATTGCTTAAAACGTCCCTTCCTCCCATTCTGTCTCCTAAATTAGGTGACATAAAACCATGGTGGTGACAGACATTCATTATACAGCTACTTCTGAAAACCCTGGAGGAAAGGCACTATCCCTGGCCTGGGGACGCAGAGACTTCAGGAGAGAGACAGGCTTCAAGGGTTCCCAGGCCTCCAGCTATGACACAGGTGTGGCTCAGAGGGCCAGAACAAGTTGAGGGGCAGTGCTGAGGGTCAGTGCTGAGGGTCAGATTCCCAGTTCCCTGCCTCTTGCCAGCACAGAGATAAGGGGCCAAACAGAAGAGACAAAGAGTTCTTTCTCTACCAGATCTCTGACGGAGGGGCCCAGCATTCTTCCCCAGGTCCCAGGGATCCTCTTAGAGTTTTGGGCAACTCCTGAATGAGAGCAGGCAGCTGCTCCAAACCAAGTCATCTTTATTAAATGCATCTTCTCTTTCTCTCTTTCTCATTCTCTCTCTCCCTCATGCTATGTGTGTATAGCACATACTTCAGGTGTGTGTGCGTACATGTGTGTACATGTCTGTGTGTAGCACATACTTCAGCTGTGTGTGCATACATGTGTGTACATGCATGTGTGCAGCACATACTTCAGGCCTGCGGCACCACCCCATAGAGCTGGTGAGGAAGTAACTTCTGCTTCTCGTTGCAACTATAGATCCATCGGGGACGAACGAATGCCAGGGAGGGGTTGTCCATCAGGGCCTGCAGGGCGGGGTGGAGTCCATAGGAGAATGAGTCATCGAGGGAGCACAGAGGAGATGCAAGGGTGTGCCAGAGTCTCCCTTTCTCTGCCTCTTTGGGACTCACCTCCTCAAAGCTAGGATCCCATTCCTGTGCGGTGATTACAAATTGAACCCGGTCGCTCATATAGTCCTCGAGCTCCCTGGTGGGAAAGGAGAAAAGAGGTAGAAGGAACATCAGGGAATCAACATTGACATCCTATGCCCCAACCACCCTCAATGGCTGTCCTCACACTGTCCCCACCCATGTCCCCTCTAGGCTGCCTTTGGTGCCTCCATTCCTCCATGTATCCATCTTGCCACAGCCACGATGACCAGAGCTCCCATAGTGGCTAATCCTCAGGCTGGCCCTTTCAGAAGCAGGGGTAGGGCTAGGGATCCTCTCCATAGAGAAGAGGAAAACGAGGCGAGCAATGCATCCTGGGCTGCCAGTGGTGGGCAAGCTGGCATTTGGACTCCATGGCCTGTGCCCGTCTACTGGGCATGGCCCTTCATCCTCCTGATGGTCTTTCCCACACCCCCACCCCTCCCAGCAGGTCCCTGAGCCCTGCCCTGGACCCATCACCCCTTCCCCACCCCAGCGCCTGGAGACTTACCCGTTGAAGGCTGTGACATATCGGATGAGTTTCCGCCGCTCATCCCCAGGGAACTCTCCGTAAAGAAAGAAGTGCTTGCCCTGGAAGAAATCTGCAGGAGAGAAAGGGGCTAAGGTAAGCGTGAGGCCCCAGGAGTTCCCAGGCACTGGACAGGAGTGATGAGGCTGACCCAGCCACTGAGGAAAGGGCTGTCCACATGTGGTTGGGGACTGATGGCAGGCAGTGGCCCCCTGCCCAGCAGCCCATCAGAGCCTTCCAGGGAGGTAGATTGGTTGGTTGGTTTGCTTGCTTTAACAGTACAAGATACAATGACTATTACTATGATTTGTTTCTGATAGACCGGCTGGAGCTACTTATTTTTCTCTCTGTTTTGTTTTTTTTT